CACGAATGGAGTAAATATTTAACAAATCTTCATAATTGATACCTTTGATTCTTTGGTTTTGTATTTAGAAAGCAAGCAAGGGTTTTTCTCCCATCCAAATCTTTTTTATTAAAACCTAATTTTTTTTCTCCCTCTCCTTCCTCACCTTGGGATCTGCTCTTAAAAATGGAAACAAGATCACATGCAACAGCTGATAGACTGTTTCCAGCAGTAGCAAGAAACCTCTACCTGAAGTCTGCGGGGAAGCTTCTACTTCCAAGTTGGCAGAGAATCGCTCACTTTGAGCTCCAAGGACTCCAACAGGCAAAGACTGATCACCAGAAGCCAGATCTCCTTCCAGCTCCTCACTTATGGGGAAAGTAATATCACTAACAGGTTCCTCCTTAATCTTCACAGGCTTTGTGTCTTCTACTGCCTTTTCAGGGTTGACAATCTTCTCATACTCTTCAGAGAGCTGCTTGCTAACCTGTCAAAGATCAGTGGGGGTGGAAAAGAGGCCAGAAAGGTCAGAGTGACTTCAGAGACTCTGATGGTAATTACATTGCAGTGTGCTCTGTTCCCAGAATATTATTAACATCTGACCTGAATGAACAAGTAAACAGGTTATCAGCTACACAGGAAAGATTCCCCACCTCCCCCACCCCTTTAAGACCACCTTCTGTCCTGTAACAAGGGACTTTAATAAGAGGTTTAATCCATTAGCACATCCATCTACTTGATAAATATGAGCACCTTTATTTCACAGACAGTGATGATGAGGCCCAGAAATTTAAACAGAGCACAAAACAAAAGCAAAGTGTCTCATCCACCAGTAACAAATTTACGTCAGCATTAAAAAACAAGCAGCTCAGATATTCATCAGCTCTGTAGTCACCACTGGGCAAAGCCTGGGCACCTTCTGTTAGATTCACAGCAAAAAACACAGAAGTTTTCTGCGGTCAGAGAATTGAAACAAATACAGGAATGAGATTTAGAACTACCCTGTACTTCTAGAAACTTAACAACTGTAAGCAATTAAATTAAAAATTTCAGATTTCATCTGCTTCTAACAAATGCTTGTTTATACCACTGAATCCCAACAGTCAGTGAACTGTGCTCAGGAAAAGCCCAAGGCTTTTTAACAGCAGAAGCAAGGAGGAAAAAGAATAGCAAAGCCTGTTTCCCCCTTCTAGATATACTTCCAAATACAGAGGCTACTGTGGACCTCAGCCCTGCATGAAGAACAGAACAAATAAGACAATGACCAGCTGCAGGATGAGAGGGAAATGCATTAGCAGAATGATGCAGAAAACCCAAGTTCCAAAAGGAGACATCTGAACAAAGACATGAACAAAAATGAACTGGTTTTTCGAACAAAAATGTTTCTAATGAAGACAGATCTTGATGATGTTATTTTTATGCACAAACCTCAGAGTCCATCACAATTTAAATATTACATGCATTTACAGGTGTCTCTGATTTATACGGCCTCTGTAAGCCACAAGGTGCCAACCCTGGGAAAAGAAGGAGCATGAGGTAGCTGCTCCAAGATAAGTCAACTGGCACTCAGATAACATGACAAGGAGGAAGGGATGACAGGTTTTGCCTTTGGCCACGGGCCACCTACTTGATTCAAGTCTTGTTTTTTGATGAGTAGGAGTAAAATTTCCACTTCAAATCCTTGCATTTCTGTAAGTCCACAACAGGCAGACAGTCATATCATTTAAATAAAATGCCTATGTTTAATTTCACAGAATACCTGGACCAAGAGAAACCATACCCTTATTCTTACAATCTATTTTGATATGGCACCTCTTATTCCAAGGAATTTAACAATTCCTCTTCTTTCTCCACAGAAGCACAGTCCCCTCTAGAGTGGAAGGTAGCACCTGTGTGACAACTCAGATCAGCACAATACTACCCTATACTCTTAAAGCTTAAGCAAGTCACCCCTTACGTAAGCAAACACAAGCCATTGTACAGCCAAGTAGTTTTTGTTCATCTGCTTACTTGTATTCTGAAATGGTTAAGCAGCCAAATATGCCATTAAAGCAGAAAATTCAGAGGTTTTACCTCTACTTGATATTTTTGTCTGGGCCACTCAAGAGCTGGGGACCTCCTCTTAAGCCCAGACAAACCATCAGTAGAGCATTCTTAGCCTCAGTAGGGACACAAATAAGGGGCTCTGTCTTCCAGTAAAAAAAAAATCCTGTTTCTCTTTTCCTTGATGACTCCACTCCACACCCAAGAGGTTTTCTGATTGGATTTTACTTCAGTAAGACCCAGGATTTGCTACAAGAATAAGCAATTATACTGGGGGTACATTTACTGGTGCCATCAGGTCCCTACTGCCGTTCTCACCTGAAGCATATAGCTGTGATAATCCTTAATGCGGTGTTGCCAGAACTTCTGCAGTGAGAGCACACTGCCAATGCCCACTTCATGGAAGACCTGCTCCATGACATCAGGGAAAGGGGTGTGCCCAAGTCGAGCTTCTCGATCCACAGCAAAGCGCAGCAGTTTGGTGAACTTCAAGCAGTACTCATGGGCAATGTCTGTCAGGGTCTCCAGGACACTCTCATGGGCACACTCAAAGCCTGTGTGAGCCAGGATGGTGGCCATTGACTGGTAGAGAAGCTGCCGACAGGAGGACCAACTCAGCTCAGTCACTGGCTCCCCTTTTCCTCTAAAAACCAGAAAAGACAAAAATAGCAAACCTCCAAAAACTGAAAGGAATGTATCAGTTGAAGAGATATTGTCAGTAATAAGATGATGTACAAAGGGAAGGAGATTGATTTGGGTTCTCCACAGCTTCTCCATTACATAGGAACACTACCTAGTAAGGGTTTATCTGCTTTGCCTTCTTCCCCTCCCTCCAAATCAGCACTGCCAATTATCATTTGCCCTTCTAATGCCAGAAGATTCCTTGGGTAATGCATGAATGTGGGATGCAGATCTTCTGAACCCTTAAGCAACTCCCTTCCCACCCAAGAGCTTTTCTCCTGGAGATGTGAATTAAATGGGTCCTTGACACAAACAAAAAAAGGCATTTTAAATAACATGAACGCAAATCATTTCCCCTCTCAGTTAATTACATTTCCCTTCCATATTATCTCTGATGTCACAGGCCTAATAGTCAGATACAAAGGCTTCTGGGATAGACAAGATCTGAATTTATAAAGCAAAAGACACACATAAAAAGCAAGAAACAGGATACACATACATTTCATAAAGGTACACTGTAGCCAAAAAGACCATTTCCCTCCCCTCATTTCCAGTAACCACTAAGTACGACACTGAAAGAAGTATCCCCATATGCAACCTAAGAAGTGAACACCAGGCCTGGAGAGGTTCTGCCGTAGAGCAGCATTCCCCAGCCTTGGGTTTCAGACCTGTCTTCTTGGTGTTGCTAAGCAGGAAGGAGTGACTGTGCAGGATGAAGAAGATGGAGAACAACTGACTTAAGCACTTCAAACATCATTCATTTACAGTCAGGCAACCAAATTTTTCATCAAGATGAGTTAACAAATAGAAATTCCACATAGGAAAAAGAGAAGATGATACAGGGCAAGGCCTCTGAAAGGTAAACATAGTTCTACCAGATTTTTCAACCCACAATTAAATGCATGTGATGTATTTGCCCATATCAGTAACACGGTCTTCAAATGCTGATGTCAAAAAATGAAATTTCCTTTCTGCTAAGTATAGTATTTATATACTTTTTTACACATCATTCAGTACCAATGGCAGAATTAAGCTAACAATTTCACCCTTCATCTGTTTCTGATCAATTTTTCCCAACATCTTCCACAGCCCACCCTGAGATTTGCCTCACTCTCATCCTACATTACTTGTGTATCACCACGCACTCTTTCCAGTAAGAAGACCTGATCGAACAGTACACAGACAGCATTGATGCCTTGATAAAATCCTCACTACTCTTGTTTCTCCAACAAGTGCATTAGGTACCCTTCAGTCTCGCTGAGATGCTGGGTCACAGAGCCTCGGTTCTCCCTGATCCTCCGAACTGAGCCATAGAAAACCACTGAAACACAGCAGTAAAAAAAGGTAACATTTCAGGGGAGTAAAAATGGAACGTTAAACTCAGAGCTATCAGGACCAAAATCATTCATTTTCAAGAACACCAGCTCAGCACTTTCTGGTTATTCAAATAAAGGGGGGGATCACACTATATTAAGAGATGCAGATGATGATATTTCTAAGTGGATATTAAGAACAGCATGTGGCTCTCAGGTCATGGATTCATCCCAGCTATTAATTGCTAGAAAATGACTCACATCCCAATTCCTACTCAATTATGTAACTACTTTGTAAAGAAAACAGCAGGCGCTCTGACAATATGAATTAAAAGATCATCAGTCAGTTCCCTTATAAACCAAGTGTCACCCATATTGGTTTTACATCTCCCTCTCTTCCCCCTCTACCCACCATTGACAGATTTCTGAAGTTCACAAACAGCCATATGTCTCATACAACACTGGGACCAGGAGGTTACAACAGAAAAAAAACAAACATCAAAAAAAACCAACCAGAAAACAAGCATCAAAATTTATACCTATAAAAAAGAATCTCTTCTTTTTTAACACATATAAAGAACATACCTAGCTTTCCAGCAGCCATCAGTTGGGAGCATCTTATGCTACCAAAACACCAAACACCAGACTACTATTAATACAGAGACAAATAAAGAGCCATTACCAATGCTCTGCCATTCAGTCAAAACACTATGGACAAACTTAAACTAGACATAGAATTTGGCAAGCCCAAGCAGCTACTCAGCCCCTTATAAAGTAGAGCACAACAACCATTTAGCAATGCATATCACTGCTCAGAAGCAGCAAAGAATGTTGTATCTCTTTTAAACTCCTACAGGAAAAGAAACTAATTGCCAGCATTAAAATGCAGCTAGGTCACTATGCTGAAAGGGATATAATCAAGTTGAAATCTAATCAATTAAAGACAGAGAGAAAAGAAATTTCAGGTACTGTACTCAAATCCAAATCCCCACCTCTTGTTCTTGGTAAGGTCAGTCAATTATGTTTTGGTTTTCTTACATTTTCTTCTCTTGTTTTCCTGTTTCCCACAGTAAACAATAGAGGAAGATGATTAAAAGCCTGATTAGACAGCATACATTGAAATATTGTTGTAGATGTTAACAGAAAACAACAAATGAGAAAATATCTTTTCTTCTTCATCTCCTTTAACCTTCAAGTACCATCTGATAAGAACACACATAAACAAAAACAGACATATAGACACATTTAAGTTGAAAGCAGCTACCTAATGTCAAGCCTTCCCAAAAAGGAGCAGCAAAGTTCTTTTACCTGATGATCATAGGTAAAGAGCCTTGGTCTTTGATCCCATCCAGGTACATAGCATCTACAAAAGCACCCTTCCAGATACTATCATTATGCAGAATGCCACCCTCTGCACCACTTACTGCTTTCCTGAAAGGCTCCCCATCCAGCTCCCATCCAAAGCCAAACCTATTTAACATATTACCAGGGTCATACAGCTGCAAGTAAACAAGAGCACTTTAATCCCTAAAATTCCGTCACCAGAGATTAACAAGACCGGCAGTTAGGCCTGTGACTTGGAGTTGATCATCTCTACAGAATATATAGTATGAAATTTATCACAAATATTGGCCAATTTGTCGCTCTTCAATTTTGTATTTCCAATAGGATCTATATTTTTATATATGGGTCACCAACACTAGATGATGTTCCAGACAAAAATCTACCCGCCAAGCCACGAATTCATCAGAACTAAAGCCCAGCCTTCTCCCACTGCCGCCAGCAAACCTGCAACATGCAGAACCTCACAACAGAAAACTGTCTGTCTATACCAACCAGGCTTATTTTCAGGATTAATAAGGTTTCAGAACTCACAAAAGGCCCATCTTCTGTGGCAACAAGACATTACCCAAAGGCACCACAATCCATTCACCCAAGCTCCTCTCCTGTAAGGCTGTTTTTCTTAGAGGGAAGGAGATCTCATGGTTCATTTCCCGTGCAATTATACTCAGGGGAAAGTGTTTGGGCTAAGTCAGTACGAGGATCGACAGGCGAGACTCACTCAACTGCAATAACGGATTAAAGGGCTCTGCTCCCTCCTAGGTGCACATAAGCTAGCAGCAGATGGAGGGAGGGATTGTTTTTCCTTTGAAGACATCAATTTTATCAAACATTACATTGTGGAGTTGAATTTCTGCCAAATGAGGTGCAACAAGGTCGCTTCAGAGCCACTTCCCCCAAAACTGTAAAATAAAGGAGAACATTGGAAAAACAAGATTATACTAGTCAGTGCATCAAAGCACATAGCACACTAACTCAAACCAGAAAGTTATTTCCTTTTGGAAAAGGGGCTCTTTCCACCTCTTCCTGAGTAAACCGCTTTTTAAAATATCTCTGCTATGTCTACAGAAGGCTGCACAGGTATAAAAAGAAGCTGCTGAATAGATAATGGCAAGAGGTAATAGGTAACATTTGGAAAATAAATTGGGTCCCAGTGGCCCAACCCAGAAGACCAGACAGTTTAGGGGCTAAGGCAAAGTGTTTAGTCCAGCAGGGGAAGTACATTCTGCCTGCTCTAATTTCCACTGCTCCAAATCCTTCCCAACATTAAACCTGTTATCCCACCTACACTGATCCCTACTTCTGTACAGACATTTCTTAACTACAAGCCATTCTGCTATGAACTGTCTTCCCATTGCAAGCCTCCAATTTCGTTCACAGATTATCTTTCAATGCAAAGCACAGATCCAATGTGGTCAGGAACGCAAATGAGAGAATGGCAGAGAACTCTGTTAAGAAACCAACCATGCACAAACAAGAAAAAGCATCTGAAGAGGCACATAATGAGTAGGTTAGGTTTCTTTTGAAGACGGAACCATGCTAATCAGAGGAAGCTGTACAGAGAAGGAAAAGCTAGCAGCTGTATTATGGTAAGAGCCTCCTGTTCAAATGGTAGTTTCAGGTCTACAGTTCCTTACTCATTCATCATCAATTATGCTTTAAGCTTACCTTCTGTTTCTATACCAACCAAAACCAAATGTTAATCCCTTATTGTGTATTCCAAGAACTGTAACATCAACAGTTGCAAATCACCAGGACCAGATGGTATTTCATCCAGGAATACTAAAGGAATTCAAGGATGAAATAGCTGAATAGCTCTGGTGAGTCACCTCTTGCTTTAAACCGCCTTGGCCCATGAGGACCAGAAGACAGAAAACGTGAAAACATTTTCTTTTAATAGCTTCAGAAGAGATGTATGAAGAACTGCAGCCTGGGAAGCCTGATATATTCTGGTGCATCAGGGAAATTCAAAGAAATGATAAGAACAGAATTAGAGGACACATGGGTAAATATGTTACACTCAGAAAGAGTCCAAACAGCTTTTGTAAATGGAAAACCTGCTTCACAAACCTACTAGAGTCCTCCAAATCCATCAGCAAGCAAGTATGTAAGAGATCTCCACTGTGGACCCCAGGTCTTCCCTCAGGGATCTGTGCCAGAATCAAGGTTTGTTTCAACATATTTATAAACAGTCTGGAAAAATGGAAGAGATGAATAGTATCATGATTAAAACTGCTGGTGGTATAGATTTTGGGGTGTTGAAAAGACCAGAACAACTGAAAAATAGCAATAAATTAGGTTCTGCCTCTTCCTCATCTCAAAAGGGGTGAGGAGATAGGGGTTACAGGTATGGGGCAGGGCAGACAGGAGTAAAAACAAAATTAATCCAGGGGATAACAAAATAAAAGACAAGGGTGTGGGGTTAAAGGATGAAAATGAGTAACAAGGAAACAGAAGAGGACATGTCTGTATTAAAGAAACTTGTGGTCTGATTCAGGCTGGCTGCTCTTATCTTCCTTTCTTCCTATGTCTAAATATACCTTTACACTGCTGCTCAGATCCAGGTTACTGACAAAGAAAATGGAATTAAAATACGGATTTAGTCAAATACTGTAACTCTGACAATGGCACCCCAGAAGGCAGCATAAAATTAAGGACTACCATATTTTATCAAGGGGAAGAGTGGTCTTTCTTGAATTTGTTTTTACACACTAAGAACAAGTGTCTGCAAATCATATAACTTTATTTTTACTACTATAACATCACCTGCTATTCTTAATTCACGTGTCTTAAAACAGTTAAGAACAAACATGTAACAACAAACTCAAAGCCTTCCTCCTGGAAAAGCAGAAATGTGTATGGTTTAGCAAGCACATAAATTCTAGCCTACACTGCTGCTCATTATAAATCCACTCCGTCAGCCACAAAACATTTCATTTCAAAATTGTCTATCCAGTTTTTGAGTCTAGTCCTTAAACTCCCTCATGTGGTTGACTGCTAAATAACATTTCTTTACTCAGCCCCCAGAAACTCGCAAGGGACAAGAAAAAGACAAAGCAGCCGCTAAAACATGGACAGAGCCACAGAAAACTGAACTTAAAGCTGAAGCCACTGGGGGGGACAGAGCAGAACACTGCTCAGTTCTACAAACCACATGGCCAGAAAGAGCAGGAGTCACAGGGCTCAGACTTTATTCTCACAGTCGTATTTCCATTTAACCCTCTTGGCTAATTACTTTATTTCTTCCAAGAAGGATGACGGTGTTCCTCCACAAACAGCACAAAGAATCATTCTACTGTTCAGGGAGACTGTTACCAAAAGCAACATCTTTCAATAAAATGCATTTTATACAACCTCAGGCCATTAAAGATCTCAGTGGCATTTAACTGATAAGTTATATTTCACTGATGCATGTTTTCCCCATTTTAAAAACTAAAATGTATTATCCTCTCCCACATCATCTTCATTGGTGCACAGTATTTAATCTAAGAACAGAAAGTTAAGAGTAGTGAGGATTAATCTCTGAATTTAAATGCACATAACCTACAAAGCGTCATCAGATCCTGCAAGAAATACAACACCTCCTTGTGAATTTAGTGCTTGTCAGAGGGGTATGCAGGGAGGTGGTGGCAATACTGTTTAACCAAAGGTTGGCTGCAGAGGTAGAAGCAATGCAACCTTCCTTTATATTTTCTGGTGAAGCCAGTATCAGAGACAAGAATTCCCTTTACCTATACTCAATGCCACCTCTGACCAGAATAACATCAACAAACAGGGTGAAATGTGATAGTTACTATGTCATAGGTCCTTGGCCACTGAAATCTTACAAATACGTTATCAAATCACCTTTTTGGTACCTACAACTAAGCAGCCAAAACCTAGTCATGTGTCTTCTGGATTTTCAGTTACAATAAGACAAGTTTAGTTGTAAGTGACCTAAACAGAAGAAACTTCACATCCTATAACTAAACTTGTCAAAATACCATTGAAGATGGCAAAACCATTCACAAACGTTTAGCGTAGTACTACAAGACAGAAATCAGCACTACATATCCACATTTTATAGACAGAAAACAAAAGCACACTAATGCACATGTTATCCACACAGGAGAAATCTAAATCTTTCCTTTTCGAAGCCTGTTTGATACTTTACATACAACTGTTTGACCCTTCAGCCTAAGGGAATCAACACAACTACGTATATATTTAAAAACACTCAGCTTTCCTTCAGCCAAGAACTAACCCAGAGAAATACCAACACACCTGTAGAAATCACTCTCTGGGTCACTGTGCCTCAGCTGAAATGGCATTTTGGAGGTCTTGCTATCCAGAGGAAGCAGGTCATCAGGGAGAGGTGGAGAGGCCGGACAAGATGGCAGAGGTTCATTGTCTTCAGTTTTTATGCCCTCCACTTGCTGCTGGTTTTGAGCCTGAGCCATGGAGATCAGGCTGCGCAGCCGCCTGTTGTGCTGGATGAGCTGAATGGTGTGAATTGTGAGGCTGCAGGGCTCCGAGGGGACGTCCAACATGGTGGTTGGCCGGGGTTTGTTTGCAGATGGCTGATGCAGTGGAGGATCTTGGACTTCCACAGTACGAAACTCACGCTGAAGCAGGTCAAAGGAGCTGCGGTTGGCCTGGTTAGATGAAACCGGAATCTCACCCCAATATCGCAGCATTTTTACAGAGATCACGTATCGTCCTCAGAGCCCAGAAGGCAGCTACCAAATACTGCAGTACAAAGGAGCCTTGTCACAAGGAAAAGCACTAGGCTTTGGGCAGCAACAGAAAGTGGAGCTGGGATGATGCTCTGAATAAAGCAACTTGTGACTGCCAAGAAAGCTGTCGCTCAGAGCCTCACTGAGCAGTGCAGTTTCCACGATGGCATCAGGATGCAAGCCTGGCATTCACCAGATTACATTGCTGCTTCTCCTGGGGGGGGGGGGGGGGGAAAAAAAACCCCCCGGAGGGGCGG